ATCTCAAGGTGGAATTCTCCTGCTTTCGATGATGCAGAAAAACGGTTTTGTAGTCTTTCTTTCGAAGGATCAGTCGTTACGTATGGGTGACTCCTTCATTCCTGCTTTCTTAAGCAGCAGCAAAGCAAACTCATCCACCTACAAAAAGAGTTGCGTGCCTTGTAATTGATGCACGAAAAAATAGGAATTGCATGGAATTGCCATCCCTTTTCCTCCCTAAATGGCCAACACAGCATCAGCAGGTCCTTCCACATCTTCAACGCCGATTCCGCTTCACCCGCCGCCCATGCGCCGCCGCTCGCTGCCGCGTCGGGCGGCGCCACCACCAGCGCCGCCGCCACCGGCGCCGCGGCGCCGCAAGCGGCGAACGCGGCGGTGCCGAAGCCCAGCGCGACGCCGCAGGCGGCGCCGAGGCCGAGGCCGGAGCTGAGGGCGAAGTTGAGGAGAGCGTAGCCTGGGAGAGATCTTGAGGTTCAACATGGAATCTGGTTCAATCAAGTGGTGTGATTTGGAGTATCCACAAGGTGACCTGCGCCGGCCATGGGGTCAGTCTGCACATTGACGGGGCGAGTTGGGTTCCTTGTGGCGTCATTTTGGGTGTCGGAACAGTCGACCAAATGGATTGCTTGAAGAACCTGCTGATTCTGGAGGTCTGACAGATTCCTTCTTGCCAGACCTGCCCGTGGGTCGACCTCATGTAAAATTGAAAAAAGGCCCTTCTGGGATCAAGTTGTCACCTTTCTTGGCAATGGCTAACCGCTTCGACATGAGCCTGTCCCTGTCTCCCCTCTTCCCGTCGTCGCTCAGGTCCAGCAGCCCCAACATCATCCCCTGCCTTCTGTGAGCTTTGTCGTCCTCCTTGGCACCAAGGTGAAGCACAAGCAGAGTGCCGGGCCGCTCAAACCGCTGAGCATGTCCACAATGCTGAAGGTCCACACCTAGAGCCACAAAAAAAACGATTGTGATTACTACACATGTCCATCAGCCCAACCGCAAACAGTGTTGATCTTCAAAAAGACACTGACGTCTGACAATATTATACTACTATAGTTACATATATATACAATGCTCCATCAACTATCCTTCCCCTTCCCCCCTTCCTTCCCGGGTTTTCCCTCTCAGCTCGATTCATGATCTCTTCCTCTGCCGAAACACCCCGGGGCCCCGCCGACGCGCCTCGGTCGCTCGCGTGGACTGCACCCCAGCGGTCGCCAGCAGCGCCACATAGGGCGCCGTGGGCCACAGCAGGGCCCAACGCAGCCAGCGGTGCAAGGACTCTCCTGGTGGGCTGAGCTGGTGGGCTGAGCCATGTACGCTGCTGGGGTGGAACTCGGTAGGTGTTCTTTCCACCAAGACGTATCACCTAAGGGATCATATAGGGTTTAGGGTAAAGTCTTTGGTGAGGGATAGGGGTTTGCTTCGCACCAAAAATCTTTGGACCTTTCGAAACACGGAATGCACCGAAACGCGACATCACATGCTGAGAACATCTCTCCTCTATCCACGCGAGCACCAATGAGGGGTGCCAGGACCGTGTTCAAGGCGCCTGAAGGTGCGAACGGTGCGACGAACGGTGCGGATTTGATGTGCCCTAACCATCATTGGACCCTCCTATGGAGGGGTCTGGGGAGTCTGGGGTCGAACCAATTGTTTCGGTTTTGAGGGTTTAGGGCTGTGAACGGAGCCTCTGAGTGAACCATACTAGCTGAATATTGAACTGAACGGTTTCGATGGGAACCAAACGGTCCAATTGAACAACTTCATAGTGCAAAATTGGACAAAGGGATTGGACATTGAAACAACTGCTAAGGACAGTAGGCTGCTCCCTCGTTGAAGATGTTGATGTCTAGTGATGTGAACAATAACCTGAGATCCTCTTGCCCAGGTCCCAGGTCCCCATCAACCTGACCCTACCCCTTTCTTTCCGATCCGTCACACGGGCACAAGCTCAAAGTTCACGCCTAGACCGGGGATGAAGGAACTTGATGACCCCACGATCCGCACCCGAACCTCGCGAACCTCGGGCTCGGCCCATCGACCCTCTCATTGACCCTCTCAACCATCCGATTCGGGTGAAATCCAGGGACCACCAAACAAGCCATTTCCTCACCATCCAAGCGAGTGCATCTGAAGGGCCGCCTCCCCAGTTCAAGCGAAGTGTCTCATGTCATCTCCCCTTTGGCAGTACCCAAATGCTCGTAGTACGGCCAGGAGCCCCTAGTAGCGTCCTTGTTACTAGTAGTAAGGCCAGGAGCCCCTAGTAGCGTCCTAGTTGCTGCAAGTGCTTCTCCTGGCCTTTGATGCTCACCAGAAGACCGGTTATCAGGAAAGGCTGTTGAAAGGTCGCCTGGCCACGCGATGCTTTTCTGCCGGTTTTCCACACGATGCGTTTCGTGAGTGTTCAGACAGGTCACAAAGGCCAGTCATGTGATGGCAACTGAATCCAAACAGAAATTCATAGGAGGTACTACTGCGATGAGCACCAGTTGGGAGAACTACAGAAAGGCTGACATACCACCGATCTACAGCTCAGTTCCACCCTTCCTTGGTGACGCTTCTCATCCTAATCTGGGGAAACCGTTTTGCGGGATAACTCCCCTGCATCGATACGTTCTATCTTCTCACACAACTTGTTCCTCAGTGATTCACACGGGTCCATGTTTCATCTTCACACTGCTTGTTCCTCGGTGATTCAATCACCTTCAGCTGGCTCATCTCCTGAGATCCTCACCTTCGGTGAGACCCAAAACGTCAATATATTTCTCTCCAAACGGCCTAGCACCGCAAGAATTGCTCGGTGTATTCGATCCATACCAGCCAAATTTGGATGTGTAGCTCAAATAAGGAGACCTCCCAGGCAACAACCCGCTGGAAGAAGGAATGGAGATCAGTCTACCCATTGGGCCAGGGTGTCTATTAAGATACACACTCATTTGGGGACAGCTTTGAGGTACACGTTCGTGCTTCCTATAACAAAGGATTTAGCTCCAAGACTACAGTCTGTAGGAACTAGTCTACTAATAGAATCTAGATAGAAACGGTTTCCAATACATTTTTAGTGGGACCTACTGTTCTATCTATTTGGGGGTCTATACCATCAGTTCTTGGAACTCCCTCAATCGCCCCTCGCCGCTGCGCCTCTTGCAGCTTTGGCAGCTGCGTCACCGGCAGGCCCAGATGGAAGCCCAAGAGCGCAAGGACCAGCCCTTCGCGCCACAGCTCCCGGTAGACCGCCATCACGGCATCAAGACATGGGGGAAATATGGGGAAATCCCTGCAGTCCAGCAATTCTTGGGGATGTGCGTGGATCTTTTGTTCGGCCATGTTCTTGCCAAGACATCAATGTATGAATCAAGTCCAAGGTGGTCAAAACATGCTGCCACTCATGCTGCCAGAAGGCTGATATCGGCCATGTTTGTGTCTTTTTTTCTCTTTTCTGGGCGATTCAACTGTCTAAAGTCTACAAAAAACGACATAGGCTTCATTGACACCCGGATTCTGTGGGTGACTCGGATTCGAGGTAGATCAATTGGCCCCTCTGACATTTCCTGAGGTTTCCTGAAGCCAGCTTCTGCAGTAGGGAACGAAAGACTGGACACCTTCTGCCGATGCATACAGTGAGTGTCAGCTTGAGAAAAGCACTCCAGAAGTCTTGTATTTTCAATAAGGACTCTGTCTCAACATACCGTTCACATTCAAAAAACCTCCACCAGTTGGGAAGACTAGAAATCCCTGTCTCATTTGTGTTTGCAGTCCCGTCGACTATCCCTAGAGCATCGCATGTTCTGATGCAGCTTTGACAAAGTTGAAGGCATCAATTACTTCAAAAGAGCATTTTGATGTCTATCATTCCTCGATGGATGTGCCGAAGATACATTCATGTTCAAGCAGGGGACTACCTGTTTTAATCCATCGAGGTGTACATTTACCAGCATGTTTCCCCCAGCCATGTGGGTCAGTGATGTTCATCGGCATGTCTTGGAATCTCTGAGTGCCCCGGCTCGTGTAGAGTTGCCTGGACCTCAGGTGATGGAGACATCTCCTTCTTTCTCAACCAGGAACAACCTGCAGAAGGTCTTCTCCTACTGAGATCTGCATCAAGCACCTCAGGACCTGGACATCTTCATCTTCCCATGTCCTTTTCTCGCCGATTTCCAAAAAACCCCGATTTCGGTCTGTCGACCGGTCTGTCTTTTTTCTTTCGGCGACGACCGAAGAACACGGAGAGCGGAGCGGTCGAGATGTCACCCAGCCGGTGTCGCCCAGGTGGCGAGTGGGCGAAGAAACATGAACTTGGATCCTCTCAAGGATGCGGACAAAAACACATGCGAGACCAAAAAACAATCACAATCAATACCACTTGTTGTGGTCCTATATGTTTCACATGCCTTGGTTGCCTACTGGCGGTGGGTTGTGGTCCATTGGACGAGATCTGGGTGGTCAATCCCTTGGACCTCAACTCATACGAGCAATTCCTGTGGAAGAGCTTTCATTTAGTGCGTGTATGTGGGTGTTTTGCTGCTTCTCCGCGTGTGCTTGGTGCATCACGGGCTAAACTACCGAGCAGGGTCTTTGGTTGTATACCAATGATTACCAATGTCTCGGGATGTCTGGAGCATTCCCAGTAATCATACATCACAAATCCAATCGATTAAGCAATTTCTTAAGCTTCACCTTTTCTTTTAGACCTTATGGAGAGTGACGATCCAACTACGACTCATACAAGAAGAGTTTCCAAATGTTTCCAACCTGCAATTGGCTATTGATCCTCCTTTGAGGAAGTGGTGACCATCACAATACTTGGAGACACTTGTCAGGACAAATCCAACCACTGCACCGATTCGATCATTACTAATTGCTTGCTGAGAAAGTTTCGGACGGCATGGACCCATCCCCCCACCCAACTCATTCAATCCCAACAAAAACAAAACATTCGTTCAAAAGGTCTTCGACTCTCGGAACACTTCCACTTCCACCACTTCATCGCACCACTTCATCGCCCAGAAGCGGTCCAGTTGAAGACCCGTGCGCCGAGTCCTGGCGTGCGTCCGTCCGGCCGCCACCGATGCAGAGGAGCTACCGATGGTGCCCATAAGACCGGAAATTGGTGCCAAATTAATGTGATGGATATGGATGGGATGGATATTGACATGTAGAAAAAGCCGTTCTACATGTCAAACGGACACATCACGATGCACTGGTCTTTTTCGATTCATTGATGGTATATAATCTTATGTCCGTTCTCAAGCCCTCAAGAAATTCACGCACAAGTTCCCTTAAACCCAGCACCCCCCCCAATCAGCAAGAAAACGTCCGGTGTTGCGGAGTGCAACGTGATGTTTCCCACTTCGTCCTGCTAAGGCCTGCGCCAAGGCTTGGATCTGTCGCTCTAAGACCTGAAGTCTTTGTCGCACGGCTCCGACGTGTTGCCTGGTGACGCTCCAACCGTTCATGGGACTTCCAGGGTTACATACATTTACCATCGTATACCTCATGGAAATGACCCGTTGAGGTAGATACGGGATACGTAGGGTTTGGTTGGGGGTCCAGGATTGTGTAGGTGTTCCGGCGACGGTTTCGGCTACTACTACTACTACTACTACTACTACTACTACTACTACTACTACT